AAAAAAACCTAACGAAAAAAAAAAAAAAAGGTAAGGTAAGGGAGCAAACTTGGGGGAACACGCAGGTGAGATGGAACCTAGATGGAGTTGAAAATCAGTCTTCTGTGGCAGTAGTATGTGCTCTTGATTTAACTTGTTAAATAAGTCCTCTTTATGGTCATAAGTCCAATGTAAAATGTCAAGTTAAATGGATTGTCTTTCATATTACCTGCATGATCTTCAAATCCGAGCAGATGTTTCCTGATAAGAGAGTCAACCTTGCTTCAGGTATCCAGCTGTCTTCCTGTACATTTTGCTAATTTTCTACTGTCATAGCCAAAATTGTATTAGTTTGGAGTTGCACTTTCAAGGGATGATCTTTACAGATAATGTACTTTTCTACCTAAAGCCTGAACCTATTTCTCCTAAATAAACTACATAACAGAGTTTACATAGACCAGAGAATTAGAAAATGCCAGGGGCAAGGACAGCAGATGGCATAGTGGCTATGTCACTGGACTCCCACATGGCCGACTGCGGTTTGAGTCCCAGACCCAGGGGCTTAAAACTCATGCCAGGCGCATGTGCATGCATGCCCAAGAACCTGAGTGGAGAAGAGATTGCAGCGTGGTCAACCACCCTGAGGGTGATTTCTCGCTTTCTGTCTCACTGTCTCTCTCTAGTGAGTGCATGAACCCTATAACAAAAATCTCTCTCTAAAAAAAAAAAGAAAAAATACATCAGGGGTTTGCGCTCGCAGGTGGTGTGGTAGTTAAGGCACTGGACTCCCACATGCCAGACCACAATTTGAGTCCCAGACATGGTGGCTTGCTTTCTCACTTTCCCTGTCTCTCTGTGGTCAAATTAAATAATAATAATAACAAATAAATTAAAAAGTTTTTCTTAAAGTAAAAATCATCCAAAAAAAAAAAAATACCAGAGGTTTAATGTCTGAGCTGTGTGGACTTCCCAGTCACCTCTGGGAGGCCTGGGATAAGTTACCCCCTCCTCTATCCTGGGTGCTGTGGCCCTCCTGCTAGGTAGAGATAACAGGGCCTTCGGGCCCCTCCTGGGGAAATGCCGATATTAGTGACAAGGCAAAAAGGCACCAACTTTCACCCGTAAAAACCAGCAGTTGGGATGGGTTAATTTGTATCTGACTAGAAAGGAGATATGTTTTATTAAATAAACATCAATTTAATAACTTTTACAAAATTAATTGGTACCATTTCATTCACTTTATACACCTTGTACTTTGAATTTTACTGACTTCAGAACTCGTTGAAAATTCCTTGTATATAAAAAGCCCTGATGTATGTATTAAGGATCCATAAGTTATCACTGAAAACAGAACTTCATGATTATTCCCAACAGAGAATATGGTAACAATGATTAATTCTGGGGCCAGCAGGTGGCATGGTGGTTAAGAGCGCTGGACTCCCACATGGCTGACCGTGGTTCAAGTCCCGGGCCTGGCAGCTTGCTTTCTCACTTTTCCTTTCTCTCTCTGTCTCTCTCTGTCTCTCTCTGGTCAAATTAAAAAAAAAAAAAAAGCAATTAAGTAAATGAATAAAGAATTTTAAAAAATGATTAATTCTAATCTATAGTTCATTTCTTACAAACATCAAATAAAACAGCTTTCCCACAAGTAAATTTTTATGTTCTTATGAAATAAAAACAAATAAGCCATAGATTAGAATAGACAGATGTGCTTTACATTGGTTTGTTTGCTTGTTTGTTTGTTTAATTTGCTGTAGAGTACATGCACTTGCCAGAGAGAGACAGAGAAAGGGAGAAATCACCCCCCCCATGGGAGATGGCCATGCCATAAAATCTTCTCCTTCATTCTCCTTTCAGGATTTTGTTTGGGCATACATGCACATACACCTGGTATTTTTTTCAAGCTTACTGGGTCTGGAACTTAAACCATGCAGTCAGCCAGGTGGGATCCAGCCGCTTTAACCACCATGCCACCAATTGGCCCTACATTGGTCTTTTTCAAAATGGAGACAACACACAGTCTTTAACCCAGAAAAACAGTTTACCAAGAAAGTCAGAAAAGCTCTTCAAAGGCTAAAGGAATTTGCAGAACAAAATGAGATGTATATATAAAAATGCATTATTTCCTAGCTTGAATTTTTTTTTTTTAATTATATACCAGTTCCACTAACAAAGAGCAGGCTAGAAAGGCAAAGTCCCTGGGCTGACTCCGGTGAGTAGGAAAGGGTTTGTCTGAGCCTGAGTGCCTTAACTAGTGAATACGGCACTCGCCTGTCACTGACAGCACCCAGTTCAGCCTGTGGGCCTAAAGAAAATGAATTTGTTGGTTTCAGCTCAGTGCTTCAGGGAAGGAGGAGGGACCCCTAATTCATTGTTTGCCATGACTGGCACCTCTGAGCTACACGAACTAAATTTAGATTACTCAACTCTGTCTTCTTAATCAGAAAAAGACAGGGGGGCAGAAAAGGGGCATTTGGTGCAAGAGAAACACTGGCTGAGTGCGACTAAGGATGAGCTAGAATGATTGCTCAGAGAAATCTGATCGATTGTCCTCACAATCATTTCATGACGAAAAGGCCACCAAACCCAGGCCAATAATGACAAGCATTTCTACTTACCCTTCTTAACCACACAGAGCCCTGAGCCTATCAGAAGTGACGAGTTTATTAATCCATCTGCACTTATTTACTGTCTACTATGAGCGAGGCCTTGTATTAGGGAAGTGCAGGATAAAGGTGGGAAAAAGTAAATCGTAAATCAAGTAGAGCCCATTCCTTTATGAAACAAATTGGAGGTAGAGTCCACTCCATGTCAGGCACATGGCAGGCAGCGGATGAAGCAATGACTTAGTCTTTACTCTATGGAGCTTATATACTAGAAGGAAAATGGACAGTAGCAAAAGCTAAACATAATTCAGGCGTGGCTAAGGCCACGAAGGCAGAGAAGGAAGGCAAAGTTTTGTTAGTGCAGTCAGACAAGAGGCCTCTGCCCGGGTGCCTCTGAGCAGGTCCCATGGGGAGTGACGGAGCCTGTCTGAGGAAGGGTTTTGCAGGCAGAGGGGCCAGCCAGTGCTGACATTTGAGCTTTTATTAGTTCCCAAGAACTTCTATAACAAGTTCCACAAACTGAGTACAGAAATGTGTAGTCTAAGATGGGAAATCCAAAACCAATCTGTCAACAGGGATCTGCTGCCTCTGAAACCCGTTGGGGAGAATCCATTCTCTCTTCCTAGCGTTGGGTGGCTGCTGGCAATCTTTGGCATTCCCCAGCTTGCAGCTGCATCACTCCCATCTCTGCCCACATCACAGGCTTTCTTCCCCTCTTACAAGGCCCAGTCCCATAGGATTAAGGCCTACTCTAATGACTGCAGCACAACTTGATTACAAAGATTCTATTTCCAAACAAGGTCACATTTACAGGTTAGGACATCAACGTGATGTTGTGGGAGACATAATATAGTTCATTCCAAGGCTATCAAGCAGCACCAAAAAGGCCATGCAGCTTGAGCAGAGTGAGCGTTAGGGGTGTGGGAGGAGAAAACCATAGCCCATGGATACAGGCCTTTGTAGGTGATGCAAGGCTGTGTCTTCCAAGTGATCCCAGCTAACAGCAATATGCCCTTGGCAAACTAAGGCTCACTTAGTTTCCAGTGTGAATAAACTCCTGAGCCAGGATTAAGACATGACTAAACATAGAGCCAGCAGATGGTGTAGTGGTTTTGCGACTAGACTCCCACATGGCTGACTGTAGTTCAGGTCCTGAATCCAATTGTTGGAAACCATGCTGGGTGCATGTGTGTACATGCCCAAGATCCCAAGAGGAGAATGGAGAAGGGATTGTGGTGTGGCCATCCCTTTAGAGGGTTAATTTCTCACTTTCCCTCTTACTGTCTCTCTCTCCCCAATGAGCACACACACTATATGGCAACAATCTCTTAAAAAAAAAAAAAGAAAGAAAGAAAGAAAGAAAAAAAGACATGGCTAAACACATTTCTTTCCTCTTATGGGTTGTCATTTTCTTGGGCTCATACTCAGTGAGATTGTTTTTATACAGCAGGTTCTCGGTTTCCTGGGTGGTGGAAAGGGTTGCTAAGGAGACTTTCTGGTTTTCTTCAGCCAGCACCCAGGGATCTCACTAGTTTTTTTTGTCTGTTTGTTTGTTTGTTTTTGCTATAGAGTGTGTGCACTTGCCAGAGAGAGACAGAGACAGAGACAGAGAAATGGAAAAGTGAGAAATCAACCCTCAGGGGATGACCACACTGCAATCCCTTCTCCTCTATTGTCCTGGGATTTGGGGGCACACATGCACACATGCCCAGAGTGTTTCAAGCCATTGGGTCTGGGCCTCAAACTGCAGTGAGTCATGTGGGAGTCCAGTGCCTTAACCATGCTACCTGCTGGCCCTTCTCACTAGTCTTAACCAAGGTTTGTGTTAACTCTTCAGTTTGCTATATATATATATATATGTGTTGCGGATATATAAATGCACACCCCAAGGAGTTAAGTCTTCTCAGGAAGCTTTTATTCCCTACCCAGAGCCCTGGACAGATGATAGAATTCCTGGTCCTCCTCTGGGCTAAAGTATCCATTTGTGGGCCAGGCCTCTGAGGCCCCAGCTCCTGTAGGAGTCCGGCCCTAGCTCCTTCTTATTGGTCGTGTGTGGGTATCCTAGGGGCTGGTACATGATATGTTCACTTTGTGCAAATCCATGGAGATGTGTGCTTGGCTGGATGCCCTTTTGTGTATGCTGAGTTAACAGAGCATGGATTCAACTGAAGGACAGTGGGAGTCCCACCTCCCCTTACAGTTGTCAAGATTCTAGCACTCAGCACTCTAGCTCATGAAAGAAGCTTGACAAAAATCACTTCCCATAAACATAGAACAGTAATCTCTAAAACTTAAAACAAACAAACAAACAAAAAAACCAGATAAACCTAAGCATGCTAGTTAGCAAAAGGGTGGCAAATACCTAAAGAGTAAGCTTTAAAAAAAAAAAAAAAAACACTCCCTGTGTGGCAGGTAACATGGAGCTTAAGGTGCTGGATTTTTCATGGCCAACTATGATTAAAAGTCATGCTGGGCACTTGGGCATGCAAGCCCCATATCCCAAGAGAATGGAGAGGGGAAGCCACATGGGGGTGATTGCTGTCTCTGTGTTGCTCTCTAGCCAGCACACACCTCTATGGCTTTTCAAAAAAATTTTAAAAACATCCTCCATCTCTGTGAACTGGGGTTCAGTTGTAGTGGGGTCCAGTTTAGAATGTTGTATCAGATACTAACATGATTTTGAGTTTTAAAAATAAGTGTCTGTCCCATGTATCAAGTATATCGATATCTCTTTAAAGAGTATGTTCTTGGCCCAATCATGGAACAATCCACGAGGTAGAAAGAACTGTCATTTAACTGACCAACAATGTCCAACACCTTTCATTTCAGCATTCATATATCATGACATCCCTTTTTTCCTAAAAGGGCTGAATAAAATATACTGACTCTTGGGTCAGCAGGTGGCGTGGTAGTTAAGGTGCTATGTGGACTCCCACATGGCCGACCACAGCTCGAGTCCCAGGCCCGACAGCTTGCTTTCTCACCTTCCTTTCTCTCTCTGTCTCTGGCCTAATTTAAAAAGATAAATAATAATAGCAAAAAAAATTAAATAATTCTTAAAAGAATAAAAAATGAATAAAATTTATATGAAAACTGATATTTTTGTGTTATGTGTATATATATATATATATATGTATATTAATGAATCTTATGAAATTATTAAGTGAGGCCCTACGGCAAGAATAAAAATGTTTAAGGGTTGAGTTTGAAGCAAGGAGCTACTCATGACTAGTGACTGTCATCTCACTCTACAATAGTTCTTCCTGGGAACTTTTCAAAAATATCCTGGTCCCACCCATGAAATGTATTCATCTGTGGGATTGTATTGGCACCATTATGTGCAAGTCCCCACATGACCCTGACAGAGCTGACCTCTGACCTCCGTATTACAAAGGACATTCCTAAGGGCTGCTAGAGGCAATTGGTGGGAGGGAGCTCAACAGGTTGCCAGAAAAGGCCCAAGGACAGTTCAGAAGAATGCAGGTTGATAAACTGAAGCCACTTAACTGAGCCTCCTGTTTATGTCCAAAACTTCAACCAGGGCTGCCACACAGGGGCCAAAGGTGAAGAGGGTCTGTGGTGTGAAAATAAATAGGTTTCCGGGAACAAAGAGTCATGAGATGAGGACGAGAGTGGGAACTAAGAACCAAGGCTAGCTGTGAGCTGGCCCTTGGCAGGGACACGGTGACATCCACAACATTATCATCAGAGTAGTATCCGCAGCATCCCGGAATGAGAGGCAAGAGGACCATGCGTGCGAGAGGTGTTTGGCTCACCAGCTCAGATTCTTGGCCTGAGGTCATCACGACCTTGACTCCAAGCTGGCCTAACCCTAGTTCTTGAATACTTTAAACCTCTTCAGTTACACAATTACAACTTAAAAATTTTCATTTAAATTTATAAGAATAAAATTTAGGCTAATGGAGTCTAGTGTCTTCACTTTAACACTGATCAAATGAATCAACTAGCTGAAGTCAATCAGAGCTTGTTCACGTTCTTCCAAGTATTTTCCTTTTATTTAAATAGACAGACCATGTAAACTGCACATGCCCAATTCCATTTGTCATTTCTTAATTGTAAGACAGGATAAGATCTAATGTGTCCAAAATAACACATAAAATGATGACAAAAAAGATGCAACCAGGACTCACGTACCTCATTTTTATAGATCATTCTTTTTCCTTACAATGTAACTTTAGTAATACCTAAAAAACTTATTAAAGCCTAATTTCACATACACACATAGGAAAAATCAGAAAAAAACTAAAAACTCTTAACAGGCATGAACTAGGGTTGAGAAAAAAATATTCAGCTTTAAGAAAATGAAGCCAGCAATGAATTTTTACATGTGTTCATTTATTGATTACTGGGAATACAGCCTATTGAGAATACATGACATGCATGTGGGGAGAAATTAACCAAATCTGAAATGAAGCCATTCAATAAGCCTGCTGTGAGTTAATAAGGTAGCACGGATTAGATCTAAGGACATGGTAGAGGCGACTCAAACAGTCATTTATAGTTGTTATTAACATTCCAGCTGCAAATTCTTTTGGAGCTTATTTACTCTTAATTACTTAGGAATTACCAGGAAAGAGAAAGATCAGTCTGCCTCTTTAGTTAAACCAACACGAAGATAGTTACTATGAATCATTTAAGCACCCCTTCCAAAAATTATCCTCTTAATTCAAATTGTTTAAAGCAAAGTACTTTTATACATTCTTTCACATTCATCTGTGTGCCTATAAGCAGCTACATGGATGTAGAAAAGATTAATAACTAGCAAAAGGCTGTGTTCACGTAATTCCAGTATCTACTGCCAAATTACACTTCTAATGCTAGCAGTTTTATACTATGTTGTCAATTTTCTCCCAAGATGTTTGTTTTAGCTCATTGATACAATAAAATGATATAAATTAAAGACTTCCAGTTACACTTAAAAGGACAGGAAGATTAAGTTACTGGAATGTCTCAGACTATAATTAAAAACTGTTTATATATATGGTATATATAAAACAAAATTGGATAAAAATGCAGAAATGTATCCATAACTATAATTACATGCCACATAGTTTCTCCCAACTTTGTAGTAATTATTTTTTCTTAAAATGAAAACATCAATGTCATGTGACAGTCAAGTAATTTGGGCTACTTTTTATGGCAATAATTAAAAAAAAAAAAAAGAAAGAAAACAATTGTACCCCACTGGAACAGAAAAGGGAGTATTTTGGCTTTAATAATTTGTTTTAAAGAGGCAGCCTGTTCCTATCCTGAACCATATTCTTCCCTTCACGTTTCAGGAGGAATCTGTTAGGGCTTGCAGCGCTGGACAAATCGAGGGTATAAGCATACATCTCGGATGTGATACCTATTCAGAATCCAAGTTAAGAATCGTTCCAACCCCAAGCCATATCCTCCATGAGGACAGGTCCCGTATTTTCTCTGTTAAAAAAAGAGAAAGGATGAGAAAGAAGTAAATGCTTAGTTTAAAATAGAAACATTTTTTTTCCCTTAAAACAAACAAACAAACAAACAAAAAACACAGAAAAAACTGAATCTAAAGTAGTTTTCCACTGTGTGGGACCAGCAGATAGTGTAATGGTTACTGGACACCCACATAGTCAAACATGGTTCAAGTCCTGGACCTGGCAGCTTAAAAGTCATGCCAGGCGCATGTGTGTATATGCCCAAAGTCCTGAGAGGAGAATGGAGAAGGGACTGCACTGTGGCCATGCCCCTGGGGGGAGTGGTGATTTCTTACTTTCTGTCTCTGTCTTTTCAGCAAGGACATGCACCCTATAGCAAAAATCTCTCTTAAAAAAAAAAAAAATTTTCCACTGTGAAAAAGAATTAGTTCATCACAGCTAAGAGTTCAACTGGGGAAGGGGGACCAGCAGGTGGCATGGTAGTTAAGGCGCTGGACACTCCGACATGGTCAACCATGGTTCAAGTCCTGGACCTGATGGCTTGCTTTCTCACTTTATCTCTCTCTGGTCAAATTAAAATAAATAAATGAGCAAATAAAATTAAATAATTGTTAAAAGAAAAAAAAAAAAAAGGAGTTCAACTTGGGCAAGCTGGTGGTGTGGTAATTAAGGCACCTGGATCCCATGTGGCTGACTCCATGATTCGAGTCTCAGACCCAGCAGCTTGAGAAATATGCTAGGCACGTGTGCATGTATGTACAAAATCCCCAGAGGAGAATGGAAAAGGGATTGTGGCATAGCCATATAACCAGCCCCCTCGGCAGGTGATTTCTCACTTTGTCTCTCTTTTTCTGGTGAGCACAGGCACCCTATAGCAAAAACCTAAAAAAACAAACACAAAAACATGCCGGAACATGTGTACAATCCCCAAATCCCAAGAAAATGGAGAAGAGGCTGTAGCATGGCCATCTCCCCTTAGGGACATTTTCTCACTTTCATTTTCTCTGTCTCTCTGGCATGTGCACATGCTCTGTAACAAATTTTAAAAAGTTCAACTCTTGGAACCAGCAGCTGGTGTAATGGTTATGTCGCTGGACCCCCATGTCGTTGACCATGGTTCGAGTCCCGGACCCAGTGGCTTAAACTCATGCCGGGCACAAGTGCGTGCGTGCCCAAGATCCCAAGAGAATAGAGAAGAAGGGATTGCAGCATAGCCATCCCCGTGGGGGGTGATTTCTCTCTTTCGGTCTCTCTGTCTCTCTCTGTCTTTCTGGTTAGCGCTTGTGCCCTATAGCATAAACCTCTCCAAAAAAAAAAATTTCAACTCTTAATTTATACACTTGCATGCAACAGAAGTAAAGAAATAACTTGATATTGGAAAGAAAAAAAAAAAAAAATCCCACAGGTATTAAGTACCAGCCTCAAAAAGAAACAATTTCAAACTTTGCAACTAAGTCAGTGTCCTGGAAACTGAAAGAGTACTAGATACTGGTGGGATCTAATGACATATTTTAAAAACTTCGAAGCAACAACTAAAGTCAACAATTAAATAGGTTTACAAATGAAGTTAACATATAACTTAGTTAAAACATAACTGGTAGCTACTGACATTCCATGTTATTATAATCATGAATATGAATATGGCTCATTCAACTAACAAGTACCACTGAATTCTCTCCTTTTAAAAATGCAGTGCACACACCCTACAGCAAAAATCTCTCTTAAAAAAATAAAATAAAAAATAGGGAACCAGCAGTTAGCATAATGGCTATGTCGCTGGACTCCCACGTAGTCAACCGTGGTTTGCATCCCGGACCCGGTGGCTTAAAACTCACACCGGGCACGTGTGCATGCGTGCCCAAGATCCCGAAAGGAGAATGGAGGAGAAGGGATTGCGGCGTGACCATCCCCCCTGGGGGGTGATTTCTCGCTTTCTGTCTCTGTCTCTCTCTGTCTGTCTGGCAAGTGTACGCGCCCTATAGCGAAAACCTCTCCAAAACAAAAAACAAATAAAATAAAAAATAAAAAAATGTCAATGTATAAAGAACCATTACAATAAAAATATTTTCTACAGTGTTTAGAAAATTGTTTATGGGGGGCCAGCAGGTGGCGTGGTGGTTAAGGCGCTAGAATCCCACATGGCTGACCATAGTTCAAGTCCCAGACCTGGCGGCTTGCTCTCCCTCTCTTTCTGTCTCTCTGATCAAATTAGATAATAACAGTGAATAAAATTAAATAAGAAATAAAATTATTCTTAAAAAAAAAAACTGTTTTGGGGGACCAGCAGATGGAGTAATGGTTGCGCCACTGGACTCCCATGTAATCGACCATAGTTCAAGCCCTGGAACTGGTGGCTTCAAACTCACACAGGCGCATGTGCATGCATGCCCAAAATCCTAAGAGGAGAATGAAGGATTGTGGTGGGTGATTTCTCTCACTTTGTCTCTCTGTCTCTCCAGTGAGCACACATGCCCTATAGCAAAAATCTCTTTTTAAAAACAAAAACAAAAAACCTGTTTTTGGCTCATACACCAATGGAAAAGTATAGAGAATCCTCCAGACATAAGGCCTCAAACATACAGTCAACTGATTTTTAGCAAAGGACACAAGGCAATCCAATCCAATGGAAAAAATAAAGTCTTCAACAAATGGCGTTGTAAGACCTTAATATCCACCTGCAGAAAAATGAAACTGGACCCCTATCTCTCACCATTAACAAAATCGACTCAAAACAGATCATAGATCTAAATGTAAAACTTCAAACTATAGAACTACTGGCCAGTAGGTGACATGGAGGTTGAGGCAGCTGGATCCCACATAGCCAAATGATGACTTGAATCCCAGACCTAAGGGCTTGAAAATCACAGTGGGGGAGGGAGGGCAGCTGGCATGGTGGTTAAGGCAGCTGGACTCCCACATGGCTGACTGCAGTTCAAGTCCCGGACCTGGCGACTTGCTTTCTCACTTTCCTTCTCTCTCTGTCTCTCTGGTCAACCTCAAAAAAATAAAAAATAACAACAATGAATAAAATTAAATAAAAAATAATTCTTTAATTAAAAAAAAAAAAAGAAAAACATCACACTGGGAGCATGTGCATGCATGCCCAAAAGACTCTTCTCCCTGCCTCCATCCCCACCACCCCCACGAGCACTCAGGCCCTACAATAAAACTAAAAATGAAAACAACAACAACAAAAAAAAGTGGAAAATCTACTGGCAGAAATCACAGGGGAAACTCTCGCTGACACTTGAGTAGGCAAAGATTTCTTTAAAAAGACCCCACGGCACAGGGAATAATTTTGAAAATAGACAAGTAGGACTACATAATTCTGAAAATAGACAAGTAGGACTACATCAGGGTAAAGAGCTTCTGTACAGCATAGTAAACAATAATTAGAGTAAAGACAACCCTCAGAATGGGAGAAAATATTTGCCAACTACACTTCAGATAAAGAAGAATATACAGGAAACTTAAAAAAACACAAATCCTACTAAAAAGTGGGCAAATGAGCTGAACAGACGATTCTCTAAGCAAGACATATGAATGGGCAAAAGCATATGAAAAAATGCTCAATATTCATTACCATATGGGAAATGCAAATCAAAACCACAATGAGATACTAAATCCTTTTCAGAACAGCTATGATTTTAAAAATAAAGAATAATGTTAGCTGGCAAGGATGTGGTGAAAAGGGAAACCTCCTACAATGCTGGTAGGAATGTAAATAAGTACAGCTATTATAGAGAACAACACAGAGGTTCCTCAAAAACCTACAAACAGGGAACCAGCAGTTAGCGTAATGGCTATGTCGCTGGACTCCCACGTAGTCGACCGTGGTTCGTGTCCCGGACCCAGTGGCTTAAAACTCACGCCGGGCGCGTGTGCGTGCGTGCCCAAGATCCCGAGAGGAGAATGGAGGAGAAGGGATTGCGGCGTGACCATCCCCCCTGGGGGGTGATTTCTCGCTTTCTGTCTCTCTGTCTGTCGGGCGAGCGCACGCGCCCTACAGTGAAAACTCTCTCCAAAAAAAAAAAAAAAAAAAAACCAAAAACCTACAAACAGAACTATCACACAACCCAGCAATTTCACTCCTAGTATTTACCCAAAAGGTAAGAAAATATTCAGTCTGAAAAGCACTTGCATATCCATGTTTATTGCAGCATTTTTCACAATTGTAAGACAGGGAAACAACCCAAATCCTCAAGAACAAATGACTGGATTGAAAAAATGTGGCATATATACACTATGCAATACTACTGAGCTATGAAAAACAATGAAATCAGGGCTGGTTGGTGGCATGGTGGTTAAGGGTACTGGACTCCCACATAGTCAGTGCAGTTCGAGTCCCAGACCTGACGGCTTGTTTTCTCACTCACTCTCTGTTCTCTCCCTCTCTGTCTCCTCTCTCTCTCTCTCTCTCACACACACACACACACACACACACACAGTCCCTCTCTGGTCAAATTAAAAATAAATAAATAAAGTTAAATAAAATAATTCTTTTTTAAAAAGTTATTTAAAAAACAAAGCAAAAACAGTGAAACCCTCTCATCTGAAACAAAGTAGATGAATACAGATTTAATGCTAAGTGAAAAGCAGGCCACATTATGAAAGACACACACTGTATGTCCCTATTCAATATATACCAAATGTGTGCACTCTATATCAGGAACTGAAAGAGTGGAAGGTAAAATAGCATGGAGGACAAGCGTGGGTACCAGAGACTGTACAGGAGGGGGTGGTTAGTTGCAGGGAGAAAAAGGGAATCAGGAAAAAAAATTTAACAGACACAAGAATGGAAAGCTATCTCTTGATGATGATGTATATGGTAACATCTCCGACTTGACTGACATGCAGTGCATGCATACTGGAAAAACTATGTTGCAAGCTGCAAAGTTGTACAATGATTAAAGATTTTTAAAAAGGGAGGGGGTTGGAGGTTGCTAAAGATAAAAAAAATAAAGTTTTTACCTGATCTGTATACCAGTAGTAGGGGGTGGGGTCAATCCCTTCCCTTTTATAACCAGCCAACATTTCTTCACTATCCCAGATACGCATGGAGCCTCCCACAATCTCACCAACATTGGGCATCAGCACGTCCACCTTTAAATGCAAGTAAAAATAAATTGTATAATTACTACCAGGCTTTCAGACAAAGCGCTGTTCTAGAGTTCCAATGAAAATTATAGTTAAGTTACTATAGCTAAAGGAAGTCTATGATCATGCAAACTTCAAATATTATGTAAGTCTCAGTAAATCTGTATAATACAGCATGTTAACCTCAATCAGGAGAGAAAAACAGTATTTCTTTTAAAACCATCCTTCTAGATTTATAATATGTGCCATGAACACATTTTATCCCAAATGACAGCCCCCACCTCCTTGAAAAGCACAATTACTAATACTCCTGGAATCACAAACTGACAGATTCAGTAAGACGGGAATCCTCAGGACATCGCTGCATATAGAAGGACTTGATCTCCACAGGAAATCGACACAGCAAGATTGGTTCATTAATGGTGTCTGTCATCAGTCTCTCAGGAGCTTCTGGGATATCCTGAGGTTAAATAAGACTTCATTAACATTTACAACTCGAAATGCAACAAGATAAAACAGCTCTTTTACCCTGTACCAGCCCTTCCATTTATGAATGCAACATAGAAGAGAATACACGCCAGCCTCACCATACACATTTGTGTAAGGAACAATTTATTTCAAAAAGAGATAAACATATTTAGACAACCCACATTCAGTTATTAAATGACTATTTAAAAAAATCTGCCTCCTCTACAGTTTTTCTTGAGCACCATGATGCTTAAGGAATGAAAACAAAAGAATCCCAAGCTGTGACTCAACACTGCTCAATTATTTTCCCCCCAGTGGCCAGTTTTATCCAGTTCTGAGGCAAACACAGTCCACTTAGTTCTATAAGGCAAAAGCAATCAGTGAATGCTCCAGACATTGATCTACGCTCAGAGTATGTTATAGATGACAATAATCTTTAAACTTTGTTATCTGCAGTTCCTTCCTGTTACAATAAATCAATTACGTCTGCAGTGGTAGTAAAACAGAGCCATCAGACCAATAACCAATGTCATATTTATAAGTGTAACCACATCTGGAACAGTCAGCCAAGACGTGTTAGATGATGATGAATCAAGTTAATCAGGCTCTTTGTCCAACCATCCTTTAGTAAACCACACATAAATTCAAGTTAAAACTGAAAACTCTGGGTCCAAGAAAAAGTGATTGAGAAAACTGGAGAAGACCTATTGATTTGCTTAACGTGAGCACTGACACAGAGTTTAGCAATCACCTGGCACAGCTGTTTTCAAGCTAGGGTCCCTGGAGCCAAAGCAGCCCTTTGATGTGCAGAGAGAAGACAGGAAATGCAGGAGCTCTCAGGTACCTAAGCTTGAATCTATTAGACATACTGGGGTTCTACATAAGATTTAACTAGGGGAAGTAGGGTCTTAACTGCACACTTGGAAAAGCCCATCCTAGTGCCCTCATGTGTATGGGATGACAGCGGTGTGCAGTCAATGTGAATGTACGTCAAAGGGTATCAGTGCGTGGATCCCACCAGGCATTTCTCTTTCAGTTCCTGCAACCCCTCCAAGGTCAAGGTCAACCAGAAAGTTGGGTCACTGGCCTTTGGTTATACTGCAGGTTAGAAGGACATGGAGTAGATGTTGGCAGGGGGATGCTTCCTTCTCCACAGTTCATGTTCTTCCCACTCTAACTATTTTGCTAAGTATTAGGTGTACTATAAAAGTACTGAAGCTTCCAGTACAAAAGTTTATTATTATATATCATCAGTGAATTCATGAGACAGGACTAACCTACAGACCAACTGTTTGCCCTCTTTAAATCACTTCTAAAAATCAGAACAAAACTCCAGTTAGCAGCAACTACTCATATTTCAGCTGCAAAACAATTAGATTTGCAAGTTTATAGAAATGGTTACGTCAGGGACCAGCAGTTAGTGTAATGGCTATGTCACTGGGCTCCCACGTAGTCGACCACGGTTTGCATCCCGGACCCGGTGGCTTAAAACTCCCACCGGGTGCGTGTGCATTGGCTGCAGTGACACTGTAGTAACACAACACTCTGCAATGCTGAGCTCACCTGGGAAGATCCCAGGTTGGTGTCCTGAAGTCTCACTGCTCACTCTGGCAGCATGTATGCTTATGATCCTGGCTGGCTGGGGCAGGCAGTGAATCACAGTCTCAAGACCCTATTGAGGGAGGACCGGCAGTTAGCGTAATGGCTATGTCACGGGACTCCCATGTAGTCAACCGTGGTTTGCATCCAGGACCTGGTGGCTTAAAATTCACACCAGGCACGTGTGCATGCGTGCCCAAGATCCCGAGAGGAGAATGGAGGAGAAGGGATTGCAGCATGGCCATCCCCCGTGTGGGGTGATTACTCACTTTCTGTCTGTCTGTCTCTCTCTCTCTTGCTGTCTGGGGAGCGCCCGTGCCCTATGACAAAAACCTCTAAAAAAAAAAAAAGAAAAAGAAATGGTTACGTGCACAGGAAAGAGGCCCTGGAACATGGTGGCAATCTATACTCCTTATGCATGCTGAGAGGACAGTTTTCGAGGAAAATCAATATGTTTTTCTGGGGCACCAATCTACTTCCCCACTAAGGCCTTCTCTGGTGGTTTTGCATTTTAACCAATGGCTATGTTCTTTGAATCTCCTTCCACATGAAGGAGTTTAAGTCACTGTTTTGGGAGATAACTCTATTTTCAAAGCACCACTTTCTAAAAAAAAAAAAAAACAAGACAAAATAAATACATATACATACCAACATTTTGCAAGTAATTTCAAAGGTTTGACAACCTTTTCAAGCAGCCCTGGCAGCCTATAGAATTCTAAGTAGAGCCTGTACTAGTATTTATTCAAAATTAGAGAAAAGGCACTGTTTTAAAGCTTACTCTTCATCTCCTAGCCTGATGAGTCTTCAGACAACTCAACAAACAGGTTCTGTTATTACCATTTATTTGAAATCAAACAGAGGCTCCCTGCACTGTTAAGTAGCCAGAAGCTCCATGTAACACAATACCACCTTTGAAACAATTAGAAAGTAATACCTACTTCCCCAAATTCATAGAAAGTTCCGTCTTCTTTCTTTATATTGTGTTCTTTCAGCCATACTATAGCATCTGAATAGTTCATCCTTTTGAAAGGCCGTTTAGGGGGTTTGAAGTTCTGTAGCAGAATAGAAAAATACAGTGAATATAGAGAAACCACAAACACTAAAATTTCTGTTAAAAACAAATGTGGGCTGGTCCCATAGCCTAGTATATAAAGGAGACAGATCCCACAGGCTAACTGCGATTTGCCTCCCAACCTTGCTGACTTAAAAACAAGCTGGGCTGGGCCAGCAGGTAGTGTGGTGGTTAAGGTGGCCGGATCCCATATTGTAGAGTACGTGATTTAAGTTCCAGATCTGGCAGCTTAGAAAATACACTGACATGAGTGCATGCATGCCCCAAATCCTACAAATGGAGAAGAGACTGCAGCATGGCCATTCCCTTGGGGGGCATCCCTCGCTTTCCCTCTGTTTCTAACAAGTTAATGTGCCCTATAGCAAAAAAAAAAAGAAAAAAAAGAAAGAAAGAAAGAAAGAAAGAAAGAGGCAGGCAGGCACATGTTCATGCATGCCTAAAACCAAAAAGGAAGGAGAATAGGTGGAGAAAGGATTACAGCATGAACACATTCCATTGAGGGATGATTTTCCCTATTTCTCTCTGATGAACACATGCATGCTCTCACATTTAAAAAAATAAATAAACTTAAAATGTTTGACCAGAAAATTATGCAGACATTCCTAAAATGGGACATATGCATGAACCTCTCCTCATGGAAATTAAATATCATGAAATTATTATCAATAATTAATAGTAAATTTGTCTTCAAAATCAAGCCATCTATAAATACCAAGGGTAAACAACTTCACTGTCTTCCAAAAGAGGATGTTAATTCCTTATTTCCATGAACACTGCACCTACCGGGTTCAGATCATACACTATGCTGGCTGCAGGTGATTTCAAGACTCTGTCTACCACATCACAGACCAAGTCCTCCAGTCGGTTCAGAAGGTCCTCAAAGGTCAGGAAAGGGCACTCGGCCTCCACATGAGTGTACCTGAAGAACAAGCACAGCTCAGAGTTGCTCTTCTCTGATGCTGCTTTACGCAAGCAAGGATTTAATGCTGGGAAACTGTCCAGAAATGCTTACCAATTTCCAACCCTGCAAATTAGTTCTGGGCTCCCCTCTCCCTCCTTGACAAGTTTTTTCTTATTTATTCCTTAACACACATAGGACTGAGGCAAAATGAAAAAGCAGACCTTAGCTATGGCCTGAGAGGCAAACTTCACTTGTTTTTCCATTATCTTTTTAATATATCAAAATTATTTACATGAACACCATTATCTATAAAGTTGTTTTCTATAGACACTTTCTAAAAATAAGTATAAGTAAAGAGAATAGCTCATACTCAGCCAGGTGCCTTCGTGTTCTGGACTGTTCTGCCCTATACGACTGTGCAATACAGAAAACATCTCCCAGGGCTGGGATGCAGGTCTCCAAGTACAGCTGAGAAGACTGCGTCAGAAATGCCTCTTCCCCAAAATAGTCGAGCTTAAAGAGGGTTGCACCCCCTTCCACTTGAGTTTGCACTAACGTTGGGGGAGTGACCTATTCAAATGGAAAGGAGTAAATAAAAAGGCCTTTCAGGTTTCAAAATAACCAAAGTAGTGTTGCAAAAGATGGTGCACATACTTACTTCACAGTACCCCCTATCAAAGAAGTGATCTCGAAAGCACCTGGTGACCATGGACCGTGCTTTGAAGATTTTGGACATGTTTTCTCCCCGGATCATCATGTGTCTGTTGTTGAGCTGGACGTCCACATCAGACTCCTCGTTGATCACGTTATCAGCGCCGCCAGCAGGGGCCAACCCAATCAGTTCCCAGAAGTCACAACTCAGCTCATGGCCCCCTGGAGCCTACATTTTTTAAAAAGTGGGATAGAGGAAAAGAGAGAGAAGGGAAAAATTAAAATGAAGATTTCAACTCATACCAAAATTTTTGGTGAGGTGTTATTTCTAAGAACCTCATCATCATTAGTAGCCATATCCTTCTGAAAACAAGGCACAATAACATAATTTATATTGGTATCTTTACATTTAGTATTTCAAAATAGACACACACACAGACTTTTTAAAAAAAGAAAAGCACACTTAAAAAAAATGAACTGTATTCCTACAACCTGCAGTAACCATTAACCACTGTTAACATTTTGTTATATTTTTCTAGCCTTTGCCATTTATAACTACACGTTTACCCAAATTGAAAAGAAACTTAAATCCTTTAACCAAAAGCTATTATTCTTTGGGGCATATATTTAGTAAATATTAAAATCCTCCCAAATAATCCCACTAAAAGCAATTTGTTTCATTTATTTTTTTAAAAGAATTATTTATTTTATTATATTAGTTATTATTATGTTGTTTAATTTGACCAAAGAGACAGAGAGAGAGAGAGAGAGAGAGAAAAGGAAAGTGAGAAAGCAAGCCGTCAGATCCAGGACTCAAACCACGGTTGGCCAGGTGGGAATCTAGCACCTTTAACCACCACCACCTGCCAGTCCATAAAGCAATTCATTTTAAAAGCTACATAGCACAGAATATATCTCAGGTGCCAAACACTTAACGGCAGGTAACAGCATGACAACTATTCTATTTGAAATTATTACATTGCTCCCAAAGAAAAAGTGACCTGGAATTAGATATTCATTTCATGTCTGGTTCATTTTTTCCCCTAAAAATTATTTATTTACTTAATTCCACGTGTGTGGGTTTTTTGTTGTTGTTTTTTGACTAGAGAGAGATAGAAAAAGGGAAAGAAAAAGCAAGCAAAGAGAAAGCAAGCCACCAGGTCCAGGACTTGAATCACGGTCGGCCATGAGACCAGTGCCCTAACTACCACACCACCTGCTGGCACTTAATGTCTTATTTTTATTGTTTTGTATCAGAATACCTAACACAGAATGTAACTGGAAATATCTAGCTTATAAAAGACAAACTAATGCCTATAAACAAACAGGAGATGTGATTCTTTTGTTTTAAATACTTAAATAAGAAACCCAAGTCCTGCAAGCCCCTGGACTTGCTCTGCGTAGCTGACCTGCTTCCCCCTAATAACCGATACGTGAATCAGTGCAAACGGTGGAGCATGATCACAGTCAGTCTCTTTTTTAGTCTTCCCCAGCCCTTGACAGCTATGATCTGGCCAGGATGGGGACAACCAGACTTCCTCGAAGGCCAGTGGTCTGCTAACAGTTAAGCCAAGTGTTCTTTGTGATCGCCTTGGTTCCCACATTCTTTTTCTTTGTGTGTATGTATTAAGTTTATTTATTTATTTCTTCCATAAGTAAAAGACACACAGACACAGAGGGCCCCCAGTGACGTCTGGACATGCTTAGACATCGCGATCTACTCCCTGCCCATGACCAGCCTGATCATGGGAAAGGACTGGCCCCGTATCCTCAGGAAGGTCTCTGGATCTGAACTGGAAACCTTCCGATGTGGGACTGCCTTATAGAGCATTGCATTTTACTGCTATGCCTCTGGCTGGTCCCCCACATTCTTAACCTAGCTTATTATACAAGAACTCTCTAAGACTTTTTATGGTTTCTAGTCAATTAGGATTCTGTTTGCTCCCCCTTGTGGTCAGTTATGTCACATTTGTTTGCATTTTTTCCTGGCCGTAAAACATAGCTATTGTACTATAGTTATCTGAACTATGATTATCCTACACCTATAACCTATAACTGGTATAGTTTTATGTCTGTTGGCTAGATATCAAAGAGGTCTCTGAATATCAGAGTTATAGTTATTAACTTTTTTTATAAAGAAGCTTTCAAATTCTATTCAGAAAGTTTCAGATTTAGATTACTCTTCTAAAATGTTTTGGGTGGATTGCTTTTAGTTCCACCTAGCTGAAAAATTATTCATACACTGACAGAAAAGTGACTGTACTTTAGCTCATGAGGATTACTATTCGAGAATTCTGTTAGGCTGGAAATCTCCAAGTTCTTTCAATCATGAGTATACAGTGTACATACTTCACTAAGAAAAAAAAAAAGCACACATTTATCACATTTGTATATTTATATGCCAAACATACAAAGTACACACACAGACATTAGAAAACAAATACACACCTATTCATTCACCCAGTGAAGACGGTAATCCACTTACCTGCTTCCCCTTGGGGGTAAGATTCAGCGTCCCATATACTGCAACGCTACTCTCAGTGGACAACACTACTCCATTGTAACACAGACACTGCAAGAAGATCAAAGTTCAAATTTAGTTATTTACCATCACATTAAAATACCCTAACACAGATGTGGTATTATACGTGTGTGTATATATATATATATATATAGGGATGTTTTGAGGGGAGTTATTCATTCATGGTTCCAAGTTCAGGTTTATAAGTATTTGGCCTTTTGTCCTTGGTTGCTGATGCAGCTTCAGAGACATAAGGGTCAAATAACCTGTCCTCCTACTGCCCTTCTTTCATCTCTCCAAGACAATCAGAGAAATTCTATTCTTCCCTGCCTTTAAGAATCTCATTCCAGTACGGTCCTTCCCCATACCCAGGAGGAAGAAACACTCTACAGAAACAAAAGTCTCCCCATCCAGTCTGTTAGCGTTTCATGCCTATTAAATGGAGTCTTCATAAAAATCCAAAAGGACAGGACTGGAGCTTCTGTACAGCTGAAACATGGAGGTTTGTGGAGGGTAGTGTGCCCGGAGAGGCTCTATGGCCCCCCTCACATGCTTTGCCCTAAGCATCTCTTCAGCTGTATCCTTTAAGATACCCTTTACAATAAACTGGTGAGCACAAGTGTTTCCCGAGTTCCGTGAGCAATTCCAGCAAATGTACTGAACTTAAGGAGGGGAAAGGATGGTGGGAACTTCAACTTGTAGCTGGCTGATTATAAGTTCTGGAGCCCAGGGGGCCAGCAGGTGGTGGTGTGGTGATTAAGGGCACTGGACTCCCACATGGCCAACCACAGTTCAAGTTCCAGACCTGGCGGCTTTCTCTCTCTCTCTCTGATCAAATTAAAATAATTAGATTAATTAAAATTTAAAAAAAAAAAAAAAGTTCTGGAGCCCAGACTTGTGCCTGGCATTTAAGTGAAAGGGGGACAGTCTTGGGCTTCGCATTCAACCTGCGGGATCTGACACTATCTCCAGGTAGACAGCATCCGAATTCAATTAGATTAGAGGATGCCAGCTGGTGCCTGCTGCAGAAGTGACTGCTTGTGTGCCGATGGAGAGAAATCGCCACACGTTTTGGGATCACAAATGATCTGGTTGTGACTCACAATATAAAATCAAGGGGGTTATTTACAAACAAGTCATCTGGTTAAATACTAGTAGAAAGTAGTGAGGTCACTGATTTTCATGAGGGTTGTTGAAAAAGTTCATGGAAAATGAGCATTATGAATAATCTATGTATGTTATTTCAATTTTTTTGCACTAAAAAATTCACATTTAGCATGAAGCTGGTTTTGGGTTAAAAAATTATTTAATTTAATTTATTTATTTTTGGAGAGGTTTTCGCTATAGGGCGCATGCACTCACCAGGCAGACCGAGAGAGAAAGTGAGAAATCACCCCCCCAGGGGTGATGGTCACGCCACAATCCCTTCTCCTCCATTCTCCTCTCGGGATCTTGGGCATGCATGCACATGTGCCCGGCGTGAGTTTTAAGCCACCGGGTCCGGGACGCGAACTGCGGTCGACTATGTGGGAGTCCAGCGACACAGCCATTATGCTAACTGCTGGTTTCCTATTTAATTTAATTTATTCATTTATTCTATTTTAATCTGACCAGAGAGAGACACACAGAGAGGGAGAGGGAAAGTGAGAAAGAAAGCCACCAGGTCTGGGACTCAAACCATGGTAGGTCATGTGGGAGTGTCCAGCATCTCCACCACCATGCCACCTGCTGGCCCCATCCACAAGGTTTTTGAAGACCCCTCATAATATAAATAAACATATTTTTTGTGTGACAAGAATTTACCTAGAGATACATATACTTACATAAGTTCAAGTATGAAAACAACTTTACCTGCATACCACTTAAAAATATTCATAGAACTCAGATGTTGTTTTTTTAAACTCCAGACTATCAAAATAACATCTGGAACAAATATAGACTATGATCATCAATACTCGCCAAAGTCGTTAAGAGAAAAGTGAAGGGGAACTTGACAATGTAAAGACCTAGCTACCAACGCCTAAATCCATGACTCATTAAAAAGAGGCGCAGCAGTTAGTGCCAACAGGGGATGTTGTGATTAAGGCACTAGATCCCACAAGGCCAATTCCATGGTTCGAGTCCCAGACCCAGAGTCCTGAAAAGCACGCTGGGCATGTGTGCATGCATGCCTAACATCCTGAGAGGAGAATGGAAGAGAAAGGATTGTGGTGTGGCCATCCTCTGGGGAGAGGGGGATTTCTCTCTTTCTCTACCTCTCTACCACTTGCAAGCACATGTGCCCTATAGCAAAACTAAGGGAAAAGACTTTTTAAAAGGGGCATTATCCATTCAAGTTTAAAATAATGTACATGGATCCTAAAACTCCCAAAACAATAAAGTAACCTACTGAAAAAAACTAATTTTCAGCCACTAATAAGAAAATATTTACCAACTCATCCGATAAGACACACTGAAGATAACCTGTTCCATCCCGTAGCACCAGAAACATTAAATTCTTTCCTAAAAATAAGAAACAGAAATTTAGCCAGACTCAACCCAAGGCACTCAGAGTACTTAATTACAGAGTAGTCATAAGTTAACCTTATATATAAAGGAAACACTGGGAGCCAGCAGTTAGCGTAATGGCTATGTCGCTGGACTCCCATGTAGTCGACCGCGGTTTGCGTCCCGGACCCGGTGGCTTAGAACTCACGCCGGGCGTGTGTGCATGCGTGCCCAAGATCCCGAGAGGAGAATGGAGAAGGGATTGCGGCGTGACCATCCCCCCCGGGTGGTGATTTCTCGCTTTCTGTCTGTCTCTCTCTGTCTGGTGAGCGCACGCGCCCTATAGCGAAAAACCTCTCCAAAAAAATAAAAAATAAAAAAAAAAGGAAACACCAAGGTTTAATTCTGGAAGCACAGACCTCTTAAATGATCCCCTTCATTTGAAGACAATATACAAGGTGGGTTTCTTTAAGTAATTATTTTTATTTAACTTTATTTATTCATCTGTTTTAAATTTGACCAGAAAAAGATAGAGAGCGAGAAAGAAAGAGAGAAAGCAAGCTGCCAGGTCTGAGACTTGAACTGTGGTCGGCCATATGGGAGTCCAGCCCCCTTAACCACCACGCCACCTGTCTGCCTCATAAGGGGGTCTTTGAATAAAAAAAACTATGCATGGGGGCCAGCAGGTGGCATGATGGTTGTGGGCGCTGGATTCCCACAGTCAACCACGGTTCAAGTTCTGGACCTGGCAGCTTGCCTTCTCGCTGTCTTTCTCTGGTCAAATTGAAAATTAATAATAATGAATGAAATTAAATAAGTAATTCCTTAAAACAAAAAAACTATGTATAGATTTCAAAATTTCTTTTTTCACCAAAATAAACTGGTACAATAAATCCATTTTTCTGAAAACTCTCTGAATTCTCTTGCATTGCTACTCAACACTTGCAAAGTATTTTCTGTTCATTATTCTTTCAAACCCTTTGTGACCCTCATCATCCACATGATCAGACCCTGGAGAAGAGGGACAGCAAGCAGGATGAGTTGAGATGACATCTTATCACCGCAGAATCCTTGGCCACATCTAGCGTAGCACCATCGCACAGTGGGATTTGCCTGAGTGCTCCTGTTGAGAATCACTCTTAATCTTTTGTATGTCCCATTTCTTCTAAGAAAAGATGTGATAACCACTGACAATAAAAAAAGCATATAATAGGGGACCAGCAGGTGGTGTGTTGGTTAAGGCGCTGTACACTCCCACATGGCTGGCCACGGTTTGAGTCCTGCACCTGGAGGTTTGCTTTCTCTCTCTCTCTCTCTCCCTTTCCCCACTTCCGTGTTTCTCTCTGGTCAAATTAAAATAAATGAATGAATTTTTTTTTAAAGCATATAATAAAGTAATAAAAACCGAAAGAGGGGGCCAGCAGGTGGCACGGTGGTTAAGGTGCAGGACTCCCACACGGCTGACTCTGATTTGAGTCCTGAACCTGATGGCTTGCTCTCTCACATTTCCCTCCCTTTCTCTCTCTCTCTGTCCTCTCTCTGGTCAAATAAAAATAAATGAATGAGCTCGGGACTGGCGTCGACATGTCGGGGTACACGCTGGATGAGAAACTTCGGCCGCAGCAGCTGCAGGAGCTTAGGGGGACATGGCTGAAAGACCAAGAGCAGAGCCCTCGGGAGCCAGTGCTTCCCCCACAGAGGCTGTGGCCTTCAGAGGAATTCCGGAATAAGTTTTGGTAAAACAGGACCCCTGGAGGAACATGGTCTATACAACATACCAACACAGTATCTCTGCTTTTACTCATGTGCTTATTACCAGCCTGGATTATTATTACCACAAATATCATGTGGATACAAAGCCATATGCCACTTTTGAAACGAAGCCCAGAATATTTCCAGGTGATGCAATTCTGGAGACTAGAGAAATAATTCCACCAATGAAAGGATTCCCTGATCAACATCATTGAAGATTACTTAACAATTTCAGAGACCTATGAGCCCAAGTTGATTCCTATATTACCACGATATGAAAATATACTCTTGAAAAGTAATTTTAATAAAGTTTACTCTCAGAAAAAAAATTGAATAAAATAAAATGAATGTGAAAATAAATTGAAAACAAACAAACAAACAAACAAACAAAGAAAACAGGACAGAAAGAGAAAACAAAATGTCAGAACCAAGGTAAAAAGAATGAAACAGAATGACTAAGCAGAATGACTAAGAGTCAAAACTATGGCCAAGGGCCAGCCCATGGTGCTGGCTAAGGTGAATGTATCTTACATGGCAGACTCTGCGGTTTGAATCCCAGACCTGACAGCTTGAAAAACAAAAATCCCAAGAGGAAAATGGGGGAGAGGGGATTGTGGGGTGGCCATACCCCCGGAGGGCGAAATTCTTCACTCTCTCCTCTCCGTTTCTCTCTGGTGAGCATACACACACTAGGGCAAATTTTTAAAAAAGAAATCTGTGACTAAGTTCACAACAGGACCTGAACTTCCTGTAATACATTCCCTGGTTTTCATTAAATAATCGGAATTCAATTTGTCAAATATTTAGTAAATACCTCCTAATCAATGTGGCTGCTCAGTTAAAACAGTATTTACACAATTTTAAAACTTTCAGGAGTGGGCCAGCAGGTGGCATGGTGATAAAAGCGCTGACTCCCAGATGCCCAACCATGTGGGTCTCTCTCTCTGTCTCTGGTGCCCTACAGAAAATTTTTAAAATATCAAAAATAAAAATATTAAAAAGCTTTCAATAGCTACATTAAAGAACAAATTTAAACTCTCAATCACTACATCCTTTAAAAACCCAACATATCCAAAAAAACCCAAAAGAAACCCAAGTAAATATTTTATGTTCTTACTCATCTCAGACCAGGGATATTTAGAACTTAAAAGGAAAAAAATAAAATAAAAAAAGAGAAGCTATACCATTTACCTTGCCTACGCAGCCTGTGGACCCAGCCAAACACCTTTACTCTTTGACCTCTGTATCCTTCTAATTTATGAATCTTCACCTGTTAAATTAAATAATACTTGATGAAACATCATTTATCACATACCAAGGGGATAGGAGATGAGAAGAGGAAGGGGACGGTGAGCACTGCCAAGGAAACAATTCCATCACTAAAGAAATAGAAAAATATGAGAACTGATCAGCCACAAGAAGTACTGGAGGTCACCTGGTGGCCTAGTGGTTAAGGGAACAGATCCCGCATGGCCAACTGCATAGTTCAAGTCTCAACCCTGGCAGCTCAAAAAATATGCTGGGCACATATGCTGGCATGCCTAAAATTCCAAAAGGATAGAGAAATGGAGAAGGGACTGTGGCATGACGATAACCCACTGAGGGGGTGCTTTCTCCCCCTCCTTCTCTCTGTTGCCTCCTGGTGAGCAAATGTCCCCTCTGGCACACACACACACAAAGGATGAAATCAACTAGGTCCATTCATAGTCCAGCAATCTATTGATATGTGGATTCGAGGAAGGAAGAAGAGGAGTGAACCAAATTCCATAAAATACAAACCATTTTTTTAAGCCACTGGAACTAGGACTCAAACTGCCATCAGCCATGTGAGATCCAGGCTCCCTTCACCAGTAGGCTTTGAGGTCAGCCCCGTATATCTTTTACCTATTTTTTTTTTTTTAATCACACACAGGTACACAAATCACAAATTCATAGATTGCAACTTCTTTTGTTGTATGGTGATTGAAACTCATACTAGAGAGGATAGAAACCAATTGACCAAAATCACACAGCATAGTCCGGCCTGGGACACAGGTCTGATATTCAGGTGAGTAAGAATTCACTCAGCAGTGAACTAAGTCTGTAATAAAATAAACCTGCTTAAGAACTCTAAAACACTTTTCTGTCTCTTCTAAAAGGAAAGTAAAGACGAACAATGAGAAGAAACAAATCGTGTGGCATGCACATGCCCCTCAAACACAGAAACTAAGACATGAGGTAGCCAAGTGGACACACTTACACATTCTGGGGCTGGAAGACTTGGATCGTTTTTAATCGTGACCTTCTTTGCTTCTTCCAGGTTCTTTTCTCTTCGCAAATTGTCTTCTGCCTAATTTTAACGATAAAGCAATTTGTCCATAAGGTCTCCAGCGTTCTGACTTTAAAAGCTAACTTACAACACGTTTACAGCAGCAACTTCATTACTCACCTCTTTCTTTTCCCGGGACTCATTCTTCATCTGTTCCCTGTGCCACATTTTTTTAATGTTCTTCATCTGTGATTTAGAAATAACATCCCACCTCTAGAAAGAGAGACAGGTCTTTAATTTTTTTTCAAGGCCTCTAAGTTCTGACAAAAATATAGTCACAAAAAATGAAAAAAATCTGTAATTTTTTGGTTTACCCTACCTCATTCTCTTTTTGTGAATCTACATAAATGGTAGGAAATGGTTCTTTTCCTACTGTCATCAAAGCCTAGAGTAGAGAGGGAGAAAAAAGGTATTATTTTTAATACTGTACAATACTTAAAACAACATCACTCTTGTGAGTTAATTTCTACAATGTAGGCAATAATCAAGAGCCAAGAAGGAAGCCTATGGACCTCAACACCCCAAAGTCAGTGTCGACAGTGACCAGCTGAAGGTACCAAGAAGCACTTTGCTTCAAGTAGAACCCTTCAGATCCGTTACAAACAATTCTAGCAAGTTGGTTATGCAATATATAGTTCCTTAAGACAAGACTAGAAATCATGGATCTTAGACAGTTACAGTGACCAGGACAGGTATGCAGACAACCGAAGGGACACCTAACAGCAAAAGCCAACAGCATGTAACATCTAAAAAGGAAAGTCCTTAGGGCCAGTAGGTGGTGTGATGGTTAAGGTGCTAGACTCCAACTTAGTCAACCAGTTTGAGTCCTGACCTAGTGGCTTGAAAATCACACTGGGTGTGTGTGCATGTGTGCCAAAAATCAATCCCAAGAAGAGTGTGGAAGAGCAGGAACTGCAGCTTTGCCATCTCCCTTAGTGTAATTTCTCGCTTTTCTCTCGCTCTCTGGCGAGTACTCTCACCCTAAGGCAAAAAACTGAAAATAATAATAATAAAAGGCCAGCAAATGGCATAGTGGTTGGGGTGCTAGACTCCCACATGGCTGACCATGGTTTGAGTTCCGGACCTGGCAGCTTGCTTTCCCACTTTCCCTCTCTTTCTGTGTCTCACTCTACTCAAATTAAAATAAATAAATAAATAATAGTAATGAGTAAAGTTAAATAATTCTTTAAAATAATAATCATCATCATAAAATAAAAAAATAAAAGATCAGAGATGGTATTTTCAAAACTCTTTCAAAGTAATGGTCAAGTGCACAAAAAAACTAACCTTCATTTTACTTACAAAGTGCCCATAAGTACACTTTCTCTGCTCAATAATACTGAGACTTAGTAGGCAGTGCTGTACTGTGTTATCATCGCTTAGTTCACTGCTTGTGGTCTTTATCTTTTCAATGGCTGAAGCCCAGCCTCGGTGGTACAAGCAGTAGCTTACTGAACTGCAGCACTGGGAGCCACATGGCCATGTGAGTCTGGATTTCAAGTCGATGGAGCATGTGCCCAAGATCCTAACTGGACGGAGGACCAGGAGACAGGATCACAGCATGATGACAGTACCTTACTTTCTCTCATAAAACAAATAAACTTAAAAACAAAAGATGAGTTACAGTTCAAAGTACATAAAAGGTGAATATTGTATTAACTGCTTCAAATATCCTTTCTAAATTTCTCCCACAGTATTATAGTGTTGGATCATCAGAAAAGTAATGACACATTTTTGCACAGGAAAACACAGACAGACGTCATGACTTTTCTGATGATCCAGTAAGTCAAACAAGAAATGCAATGGATTCTTCTCTCTGGTCACAAGATCTGAAGCTTACAGAAACTAAAGGGAGTCAGTCCTAACTCAGTGACGTCAGTCCTAACTCAATGCAGAGAAGGAAGAAGCCTGGGTCTTTTCCAAACATCCACGAATGTTCATCTTCTTAACAACTAGACATCGTCATTCAGAATTTCATTTACCACCTGACAATCTGTACTAATCCCCCCTTTCCTATCCCTGAAATCAAAAGAGCCATTTGGGGAACTGTCATTCTCCCAATTAGAAAGGCATACTTTGGCTAACAGGGACATCCTGCAAATGGTCACCAAGACAGCAATGTCAGTTTTGGGGAGCCACAAAGAAGTACCCAAGAACTCAGAGATAAAGAAAGATTGTCCTCGAAAAGTTAAAAAAGCAAGGCCCATGTAAATGACACATCAAAGCATAACTATATGACCTAAAAGATGGAATGCTCCCAAGTCGGAAGCCTTAACAATAACTAAATGAACATTGCAACACAGCTTTAAAAAGGGTAGATTAACTAGGCATGGATACACAGAAAAAGGCATGTCAGAGCACTGCTTTTCCCATTATGTTCAAAAAGGGAGCTTATAACCAACAGATTCTCACACTCCTATTCAACGGGCAAGCCCAAGATTCCTTCAAGAAGGATGACTAGGCGACCTGACCCTGACACAATCAGTTACCTGACATCCATGTTGTGAACCCAACCTCTCAGAGAACCCTTCTGAGAATGTGCTATGTTTATTTGAAGGTTCTAGGCCTTGAGAAATACTAGCACATTAATGAACTGGCATTTTATCTGAAAGCTTTCAACGCAAGAGCCTGCTCTTCTGAGAAATGGGTCCATTCTCGGTATGCTAATATAAACCAGGTCCCTGAGTCTCGAGGTTCAGGATCACACTCTGGAGTATGGTAAATTAAGCAAAGTGTTTCTTGGGAGTCACCTGGACATAAATTCTGAGTGTTTAAGAGAGTGGTATTTGGGCTGGCAGGTGGCATGGTGATTAAGGTGTTGGACTCCCATTTGGTCAACCCCCATTTGGCAGTTCAAGTCCCAGACCTGGTGGTGTACTTTCTCACTTTCCTTTTCCCTCTATCTATGTGTCTCTTTGGTAAAAATTGGAAAATGTTAATAATAAATAAAATTAAATAAATATTTTAAAAAGTGATATTTTTATTTTTATAAAAACTGGAAAACATGGCAATCTGACTCAGTTGAGAAATAAACTCCAACATGCAGTGCCACGTGGTGAAAAAGACACCTTTTTTGTATGTTAAACTAGGTCAGAATTAGACCAGCTAATGCTCTTAAATCTACATACATATCCTTTACTTTCTCTTTTCTTATAATTCTCTTCCAAACCTAGTGTTTGAAAGAATATTCTCAACAAGTACACAATAATTCACATTTTTTTTTAAGGGAGATTTCTGCTACAGGGTGCATGCACTCGCTGGAGAGAGAGAGACAGAAAGTGAGAAATCACTCCCCGGGGGGGGGGGGGGGGATGGCCACTCCGTACCACTCCGTAATCCCTTCTCCACTCTCCTCTCCGGATTTTGGGCACACACACACCCTCAGCCTGAGTTTTTATGAGGTAGCTAAACCACAAGTCGGGAATCAAACTATGGTTAATCTAGCGATGCAACCATTGCGCCATCTACTGGTTCCTTTTTTTTTTTTTTTAAGGTTTTTCCATAGGGTATGTCTGCTGGTGAGAGAGACAGAGAGAAACAGTGAGAGGGAAAGTGGGAAATCAACCCCGGGGAAATGACCACACGGCAACACTTGCACATTCTCCTCCTGGGATTTTGGGCATGCACACACACACACCTGCTGTGGCTTTTCAAGTTTCCAGATCTGGAACTCAAACTCAGGCTGGTCTTGTGGTAGTGCCCAGTGCCTTAACTACCACAACCCCTGCTGCCCACCCCCCACATAAGTCATTAGTAAATGCAAACCCGTTTTCTTAATGAGAAGAGACAATACCTTTAGACCTGTTTTAAAAGGTTTCTCCTTGGTTCCATCTCCTGTAGCATCATTTCCTTCTCGATCCGAGACATACAGCTCTGCTGTTTTACAAAATGAGAGTTACTCATGACTCATAACTGCCAACCACATTATATTGTAACTACTTTATCCATTCTTTCACTTGACAAACAGAACTCACACCTGGATTAGTAAAAATCACAGCAGCCCAATTAACATCATGATCTTCCCATCAACCTATTTCAAGGGTAGCTACTTCATAAAAACGTATTAGTTACAAACTTACTATTCCAAAGCAAACCCTGTTCATTTTAATTTGTGATATTGCTTCTGTCTACTCCAGTCCCCAAAGATAAAGGGTTTCGAAGCTGGCCAAACTACACTGGATTCTTGAATGCTGTACCTTTAAAAGCCAAGACAGCCCTGAAAAATTAGTTAACCTTTCTGAGCTTATTTCTCCATTTATAAAATAAGGAAACAAGCTCTACCTTGAAGAACTGGAATCAAAATTTAAAAAAAGCAATACACACAAATGTGATGACCACGTGCCGGTGCACAGATGGCAAAAGAAGAGTAGTTGCCTCTGTTCTTTACAGGAAACCTAAGAAAACACATGGCAAGAGGCCTCGCCCCTGGTAAGTGAACAGTGATTTAAACAAATGAGGCTGTGCGAAACAGAACTATTATAGACCCCCCCCAGGCCTTTCTTGACGATCCCTTAAAAGAATTGGAGACATGGGGGCTACCACTAGTGAGTCCCAGTGCCTAATTCTAGGCGGAATCACAGGACCATTCGCAGTGGGGCAGGGCTCGGAACGGCCGCCATCGCATTCCGGGCACACAGGGCTCGAGGAAGCCTTGGCCGGGCCCACCGAGTTGGGCCCAGCCAGGGTCCAGGCCCCTTCCCTCTCCCTCCCAGCGTTCGGTAAATACATAGCCGGGGAGCGTTCGTTCTGGGCCAGGCACTAAGGTAGGCTTGGGGTGAGTCCGGTGCAGAGACCCTGCCCCGGCAGAGAGCGCCGTGCCATATGCCGAGCCTCACTCACCCAGCACCATCTCTGCAGTCGCTCTGGTCACCTCCAAGGACATTAGTCCGCGACACCGCCGTCGCTTTATCACCCCAACGTGCACCCGCGGCTTCCTCGATTCCGGCGTTGCATCATATAACGTAGTGCAGAGGTAGCCCTCCCCGCTCGCCCCGCCCCGCCCTCCAGTCTCCGGCGGGCCCATGCCACCGCCTACGGGGATTCTTACACGCCGCGCGGTTTCAGTACGCTTCCTTTCGGTCCCCAGCTCCACAATGGTACCTTTCTAGATCTTGCAATTCAACTCCAGCTGGAGGCGCGTCGGGTCCTCTTGCAAACCAGACCCAGGCTGTCGCCAGACCCCCGGAGACCGTAATACCTGTTGAATTGGTGTCATGAGCACATGTATTGCGTGCTCGCACCTGGCGGCGGGGGGGGGGGGTGATCGAGAAGAAATGTCTTATCTCTCAGGAAGAAGCTTTAACTAACTTCAATGAATGAACCTACCTCTGTATTCAGTACAGGCACTGCGGGATGTTTTCATTTAATGTGTAAGGATCGCTATGAGGGAAGCCATGACAATATAAAACTAGGGCTTTGGAATACAAATCTGAGCTGGAATCCTGGTTCTGCTTTCTTCCTAAGGACACCGGGCATATGTGCATTCATGCCCAAATTCCTAGGAGGAGAATGGTGGAGAAGGGATTGTGGTGTGGCCATCTCCCTGGAGGGGCTGTGATTTCTCACTTTCTTTCTCAGTCTCTATCTCTCCATGGGGAGCGTTCACACCCTATGGCAAAAGCCTAAGAAAAATGAGAATATGAACCAAGGTTTGGCCACAGCTGTGATGGACCACATGGAGACTCTGGAGTTCCGGTCCCACTCAACCTGTACCCTCCTAGGGCAGGTGCCCATGGTCCTGGCTGCCTGGGAAGGCTGGGAGTGGGAGTAGGGTCACAGCATGAGACCTTGTTGAAGGCGCTTGCTTTTCTTTCTCTATCACTCTCTCATGAAAGAAAGAAACAAAAATTTTTTTAATTAACCAAGTACTTTTTTTCTTTCTTTTGAGAGATTTTCACTGTGGGGCGCGTGCGCTAGCCAGACAGACAGAGAGACATAGAGACAGAAAGCGAGAAATCACCCCCCCGGGGGGATGGTCACGCCGCAATCCCTTCTCCTCCATTCTCCTCTCGGGATCTTGGGCACGCACGCACACGTGCCCAGCGTGAGTTTTAAGCCACCGGGGCCGGGACACGAACCGCGGTCGACTACGCGGGAGTCCAGCGACATAGCCATTACGCTAACTGCTGGTTCCCTTAACCAAGTACTTTTCATAAAGAATATTTCACCCAATCTCATGGCTTTCCCCTGTCCTTTGCTGAATGTTTTCTGTAATTAGTTATCTATAGCTGTAAAACAGATGACCCCAATCTGAGAAGTTTAAAACAATAAACATTTGTGGGACCACCAGATGGCATAATGGTTATGTTGCTGTACTGAACTGCAGTTTGAGTCCTGGACCCAGCAGTTTAAAACTCATGCCGGGCATGTGTGCATGCGTACCCAAAATCCCAAAAGGAGAATGAAGGAGAAGGGATTGCAGCATGGTTATCCACCCAGGGAGGGATTTCTCTCACTTTCTGTCTCTCTCTGTCTCACCAGCAAGTACACACACCCTATAACAAAAATCTTTCTTTAAAAAACAGACAAAACAAAACAATAAACATTTGTTACCTCATACAGTTTGGTGAGGAATTCAGAGTGGCTTAGCAGTTCTGGCTCGGGGTGTCTCATGAATCAACGTGGGCAGGGGCTGCAGTCATCCGAAGGCTTGACTGGCAAGGGTCTGCCCCCAGGCTCACACCACGGCAGTTGCCGGGGACTCAGTTCCTTGCCAGGCGGGCTTTCTGTAGAGCAACTAAGGATGCAGCAGCAGCTGCCTTTCCCCAAAGCAAATGATCAGAGAGAGACAGACATATTGGATAGTTTTTATTGTGTAAGAAATGACTCCCACACTTCCAACAACAGTTATTCCCATTTCTGTGGACTAGGAACCAGGCTGCATTTAGCTGAGGCCTCTGGCACTGACTCTGTCCCAAGGCTACAATCAGGGTGTCAGCTGGGGCCGTAGTCATCTTAATTTAAGATTCTCAAGTCTCCCATGGAGTGGCTTCTCTTCTGTGCTCACATAGGTGGGTGTTGGCCCGGGTCACCCTCAGTTCCTTGTCACATGGGTCTCTCCATAGAGCAGCTTGCTCTGTCACAGCATGCAAGCAAGATGACAGTCACACTATTTTGTAGCTCAATCTCAAAAGTGACATGCCATCACTCCTGCCCCATCTAATTTGTAAGAATCAAGTTATTTAGTTCAGTCTGTGCTTGAAGGGAAGGTCTTACACAAAGACATAAACACAAGACAACAGCAATTGATGGGAGCAGCTCAGCTGTGACCATGCCTTTTATAGCCTAGTGTGTTAAATGCCGTTTCGCCATTTCCGCTGAGCTCCAATTCTGCAACAGCATGGGAGCGGACTAAACATGGGGGCGAATGCCAAGAGGTGGAGCCCAGTGGCATCCCCTGTCTTAGAGACTGCCAGCCATAGCCCATCCAGGTGGATTTCTCCTCTTCATCCTGCTCTGAGCCCCTGATGTGGGCTGATGTGGACCACATCAATGGGCTCCCTCGCTCTCTGACCCTCTGACCTCTGGTCAGCTGGAGCCAATGGCAAATGCTGGCAGGACAACAGCAGAAGAGTGAGGCTAGGGTTCTTATCCTCCCAGCTCCCTCCTCGCAGGCTTGGTGCATTCTCACCTGAAGGCCACAGCTCCTGCCACATGGCACCAGAAGACTGGAGACTGAACTGCTCCTCATGAATTTAGTTTGTTTGTTTGTTTGTTTGTTTTTAATTTAATGCTTTATTAAATTTATTTATTTATTTAAACCAGAGAGGGACAGAGTGAGAGAAAGAGAGGGAAAGTGAGAAAGCAAGTTGCCAGGTCCAGGACTTGAACTGCAGTCAGCCATGTGGGAGTCCAGCACCTTTAACCACCATACCACCTGCCAGCCCCCATGAATTTAGTTTTATCAGATCCTCAAAACTGAATATACACAGCCACATTCTGTTGTGAAATAGAGCGGTGGTATATACAGAACTAAGAAGGTGGCTGAGATTCCTGCCCCTTCCTCTATCCACGTCTGTGGATGGACAGGACTTTTCTATGTCCACTTAGTGGAGGATGGGCCAAGTGGGCCGAGTGCTGACATCTGCATCCCATGCTGACACGTGCCTCAGGTGGGCAGCTACCATATGGGCAGCCTGGATTGATTGTGGCTCTGAAAAGACCATGGTGGGGAACCAGCAGTTAGCGTAATGGCTATGTCGCTGGACTCCCACGTAGTCGACCGCGGTTCGTGTCCCGGACCCGGTGGCTTAAAACTCACGCCGGGCGTGTGTGCGTGCGTGCCCAAGAGCCCGAGAGGAGAATGGAGGAGAAGGGATTGCGGCGTGACCATCCCCCCTGGGGGGTGATTTCTCGCTTTCTGTCTCTATGTCTCTCTCTGTCTGTCTGGCGAGCGCACGCGCCCTACAGTGAAAAATCTCTCAAAAAAAAAAAAAAAACCATGGTGAAGGGAAACCCTCTGAGATGATAGAACTCTGAGCACTGTGATTAGTTTTCTACTTCTTAGATGAGCAGAGACGGCCTGGAGGCCTGACGGACACTGACTAAAAGGTTGGCTAGTTGGACACAAACTTGGGAAGGACAAGATTGAAGATTAGGTACAAGCGGTCCAGTGGGGCAGGATGCAGTTGGAGCTTTCTGAATGGGCACAGAATGGGAAGGTTTCTTGTCCTTCGTAAACATCTGTCGAAGGTAGAGTATGCAGGAGGTGTCTGTAATCTGCAGATGTCCTTCTCCCACAAACACCCCAGTGCTTGCTTAAAGAGTTCATACACAAAGTGACCACAGCGACTGAGTGGACATTGTGCGTGCGTCCAGCCTCATGGGCTGCCTCATCATGGCTGACCTGGCTGGCTATTGCCTCTGCTGTGGACTGCCAACGGCAGACCAACTTTGGGAACCCATAGGACACCATTCTTTGGAGGGACCAGCTGGCCACTTGGTGGCAGGAAAATTACAGTGGCCCTTGAAGGAGGCAGCACGATTTCCCCAAGTATAGGCGCGTAGTCCACGAGGGATGCACTTTCCCCACCTTCAGCACTGACGTCTACAGTCCTGCCTACGCTATATCCATCTCCAATGAGCAGACACACTTTCAGTGGAGGATGTGTGCCATTGAGCTAATCTCTCTGGAATCCAGTGGTCTAAATATGTGCTTTGTGTTAAATAATTCTTTAAAATATTTATACATGCTGCCCTCTCCCATCCAGGAGGAATATACTTCCCCGCTTCAATTTTTTTTCAGGCTTAGCCATGTGGATTTCCTTTGACCGTAGGGTATTAACAGATGTGGCATGAGTGAATACTTAAATGTGCTTGTAGAGTGGATCTGGATTTCTTGCTTTTGCCATCACCATGAGAAGAACTGCCCTGACTGGCCCACTGCTAAACTCTGCCCAGACCACTTGGCCCCTAGATGCATAGTGAGAATAATTGTTGTGTTAGGCTACTGAGTTCTTTTTTATTTTTTTTCTTTCTTTCTTTTTAAAATAGTTCTTTTTCTATTTATTTATTTATTTATTTATTTATTTATTTCGGAGAGGTTTTTGCAATAGGGCGCATGCACTTGCCAGAAAGACAGAGAGACAGAAAGT